CATTAGGTACTTTTTCTGCGGTGTCAAAAGTCCATTTTATCTGTTACAATCATCATTTCTGAGAAGGTCTTTGGTTGCACAAGGTTTCACGTGACATTAGAAAGGGGAACTGAAGGCTTACTGACCGTTAGATAAGATGCCAGGCTTAGCTCACATAATGCTCTACTTGTCTACACATGACTGGTTATACGTTCCTTCAACTAACCCTACAGAACATGCTTTATACTCTAATCTGCCTCAATCACCATCTTAACATTCTTAAAACATAATACACAAGTTTATAAGTCATCAAGAATCACAGTACATCAATTAATAGAACCACAGTAATAATAATAATCATTGGTTAGGTTAGATATACTTTTAAAGTTGATTACATTATTTCTTCATATTTCCTCCTGCTGCCGTCTCAACCGCTTCTCCTCTGGACCTAGATTCTTCTTATGATATCTCCTTTTCTTTTCCTGATCCCGTCTCTGTGGGGGAAAGAACTCTCTAGGCCTGATTCCACCATTATAAGCATCCTGAGCAGTGGGCCCTCTTGACACCCTCTCCTTGGAATCAGACCTAGGAGTTTGGGTCAGGGTCCCAGGGGGGATCAATGGATGGATCTTCGCAGGCACATACGGTGGGTAGCGAGGACCTTGAGCAGGGGGTTCCATCCTACTCGGGCGCGTAGTTTTGGGGAATTTAGGGGGGCCCATCTTGTTGGGTCGGTACCTTTTGTCATACCCCTCTGCTTTGGGCTGATGCCAGGATTTTACTGCTCGGTCCACAGCGGCTCCGTAGTTTCCATATGAGTTCTTCCCTGGGTTGGATTCCTCCTTCCTGTGAGAGGTATTGGGGCTCCGTGGAGGGCCTATTTCTTTACTTTCTACCACTGGTGGGCCCAACCTCGCCTTCACAGGGGTAGGGGGTCGGTTTTCCTCCATTGTCCTAGGATGAGGGGTGTCTGCATCTTCGGACAAGAAGGGCCTATGAGCGCTCAGCTCCAGGTCGAAATCCGAGGGGCCGGGGGACAGGGTCAGTATGTCGCTAGGGATTTGGTGAGGCGGATGAACCACCTCATGCGTAGCTGGTGTCTCCTTGTCTCCTTGTTCTGGTTTCTGGGTGTAATCAGGCATGGTCGGGCTGTATCTCGGTGAAGGGGGGTTATAGTCRGTGGTGTCCACTTCTGACACAGGGCTTGATGGCAACATATTCTTAGAATTATCATTTAGCCATGCGATGAGATCAGGGTTTTGTAAGGTCTCATTCAGAGTTGACACGTCCTGAGGAGCAGGATCCGTCATGGGGACCACAGGTGTCTCCAKAATGAGCTCCTGATTTTGCAGGTTGACCACTGCTTGTTGCACTTCCGCCAGGTCTTCGGCAGGTTGGATAATGTGCAAATCCACCAAGGAGAAGTCAGGGATATGGAGGCTTATATACCTGTGATTCGACATGCGGGATTTCCAGATCCTCTGGATCAGAGGGAGGGTACATGCTTGATGTACGTTGGTAGGGATCACAGGATCGGGCCAGAATAGGTTCTTCAGGTTACAGTGGACCATTTGCCCATCTTTATGCAGTAGGTAGCTTTGGGAGAAGTCGGCTCTAGGGCAACTTTGGATCCCATTTCTCAGTATGATGGCCGTAGCCACCGGGATTCCAAAGTAAGCTTTGTAGCATGGGTTNACTACTACTACTATTACTACTACAACTGAAAATCAGATCCAAACAGCCAATGTAATCTAATAAACTATAAAGTAATTTCAGAGAATAAAAGACTAAGCTAAAATTTGTTGATTTTTTTGAAACAAAAATAATGATAACAGCATAGCAGCCAAACATTCAGTGAAATGAGCAACCAGCCACCCAGCCTGCCAACAGCACTGGTTCCCTCTAATCTGAGGTCTCTGCCAACTTTGTAGTGCCGGGATCTGATCCAATCAACAGGGAGTAATGCCGCAGATGTGTTACGCAGTAAGAGACCTATGCCTTAATGTTGTAGTCAAATTTTAAATTAGTGTCAGACAACTGAGCAGCTAAGAATGTGAATTGTTTTTGGGCCAGTTCATTTTTCAAATATGAAACGATGTATGGATCAGAACAGGAGGCATATAAAATACAAAAAACAACTGCTTACAAACTATTTAACCAAAACATCAAGACTCAATGGTGTATCCATTTTATTGTAAATTTTATTAACATCGAGGACGCGGCAGGCCAAACTAAAACTGAAAGATTCTGTGAGATTTATGTTGTCTCTGATAGAAGATGTACTTCACTGTAAAAGTACACTATATATATATATTTCCTGAAATGTTCATTGTAAATAAATGTGAGCTGTCAAACCAACTAGTGAAATGAGTGCACTGTTGTAAAAACTTGGTTGTTCAGGCCAACAGGTGCAGATTGCTTCTGACCAATCAGTAGTTTGCAGTGTGTGTTTGGTTAATGTTGAACATGTTAACTGACAAATTAAAAAGTGCATAAGCATGGCTACACTTAACTTTTGTATAGCTCACATGTCAAAAAGAAATGGGAAGGGATACATATTTCTATACTTTCGACTTGGTTTTGCTACCTCTGCTGACAGTAGACAAAAAATAGTTTGTTTCTGAACAAAAACCAGTTCTGTTTGCACCGTCCCAAACATTAAGCTTAAAGACATAGAATGATGCTATAAAAGCACAATACACACCATGAGACTTTGAATAAATGGGATTGTAGTATTCACCCAAAAAACCTTGATTCTTTTTTCCCCGTAAATCCAGTTTCTTAATATACATCATATTTTAAGATTGCAGTGTAACGACATAAAAAACAGAAACAGACATTATAAATAGTAAGGTAGTAAAATATCGCTGACTCTTGCTGACTAGCCGATAAATTATTTACATCCCTTGAGCCTAATCACTTTGGAGCAGGGCACAGCCCACTCAGAAACTTGCCTCCTGTCTGTAATTTCTCTAGAGACCTGTTGTTTAGTTATCTCATTCAAAGATCTTGGAAGGAGTTTTGTCTGCATGTATACTGTCACCCCCTCCCCTCTCCAAAACATGCAGATATTTAAAGAAGAATCGTCTGTAAACACAAAAATAGGACCAATATCTCTCTCTGAATGTGCATTTCAACAGTCGTGGCACATCAGCGATCAATTGTCACTTCAGTGAATTCATATAATATCTATAGACGGCAGGCTTATTGTTTGCTTTCTGTTACCTTGGAAGACCCATTTTCCCACCGCCTGGCTTTTATCCCCCTCCCTTCCTCTTTTCCTTCCCTTTCTCCTTGTCCCGCTCCTTTAAAGCAGCCATAACTGTCTCCGATCCTTTTCCCTCATTCGTGCTGTTTTGTTGACATTAGAGGATAATTTTAAAAACGCTCTGTGTCAAGAGCTGCTGTTTAATAAGATATTAGCATCTTGCCCCCTTTTTCACCCCATCCTCATCCTCTCCTCACATCCCTCCTTTCTTAATTCTGGTCAAACGTGCTGAGCATCCTCCCCATTCATTAGCACTCTCCTGCAGCGCACCACAAGCTGACAATTCAGTATAAACACACAACATAACTGCACACCTAGAGCCAGTGGATCCCGCTCAAGTGCAGACATCACATGAAAGGTGCAAAAAAACACACACCGAGACACAAAACCGCACATACCGTGAGCACGTGTTCCCCTTTGCTCTGTTCGTCCATTTAGACTGAAAACATCCGCAGAGCAGCTCCTTGTCGGTGGCAATTATCCTTTCTGTAGAGGACGTGTGCGAGCCAAGCGTTCACAGCAACAGTGTCACACTCGTCCGTTCTCTCTTCTCTTTATACAAAAGGGAGGGGAGCGAGCCGCTTCGGAACACACAGTGTTCTGCCATTCGCTGTCAGTCCGCTCTGTGCACAGCAGCCAATCCCACCATGGCACCATGAATATTTGATTCACCCAGCCAAGAGCTCATAAACATACACACATGCACACCGTCACACGGGGGGGACACGCATTCACATTTGGAGGACGTACAAATCCTTAGCCGCTGAGGTATTCAGGTCACAAAGGAAGAGCCAGCCCCGAACAAAGATAAATAGGAACAGGCACATGTGTCCTCTCAGGCTGCGGTACGTCGAAAAAAGACACATTGCTGTGAATTCATAAAGACTCCAAAATGCCTCCATGCCTTTGACTTTCACGGTCCTTCTAATAGCGTCAAGGTTAGACGTGCCTTTCAACACGCGCTAATAGAACAGAGAACTAAGGTTCGTCTGTTTCCACTCCACAACAACAGCTCTGTAACAGTGGGGCAAAAGAACAGGTTCTCAATCTGGTGACAGAAACGTTCATGATCAGTGTCATGTAAACTAAATGAACCACTGAAACATACACACAGTTGTACCCAAACATAAAAGACAGCTATAGATTGAAATAGAAGTCTGAATAAATTTCAGTAGAAAGAGTGACATCTAATGGCTGAACTTTCACAAGTATTCTGTAGAGCTGATGCCTCTCAGCAAGAAGGTTGCCGGATCAAATCCCGGCCTGGGGACCTTTCTGGGTGGAGCATGTTCTCTCCGTCCATGCGTGGGTTCTCTCCAGGCACTCCGGCTTCCTCACACAGACCAAAAACATGACTGTCAGATTAATTGGTAACTCTAATGGTTGTCTGTCTCTATGTGTGTCCCTGTGATAGATAGGGCTGTGTATTGGCAAGAATTTGGCGATACGATACATATCATAACAGAGGGGTCACGATATGATATATCCCGATATATTGCGGTACTGTAAGCAAGGCAGTATATTGCGATATATTACAATTTTTTATCCAAAAATTCTATTAAATAAAAACCTCTTACTGAAAAAAAAAAAAAGAAAAATAAAAGCTAATGTTTACTTACAATGCTAATGCTACCCTTACTCTCTGGCGCTCAAGAGGTAGAGGAGCCAAATGGCTGGCTCATTGCTGCCAACTAGTGGTCAGAGGCTGAACTACAACATAAAAATGAACGGTTGGCAAGAAGGTTGACATTTTAAACCTTAATTAAAAACCGATACAGGGCTTTAGAATATCGATACAGTATCGGGAAATGAAATATTGCGATATTTCAGTGTATCGATATTTTCTTACACCCCTAGTGATGGACTTGCAACCTGCCCAGGGTGTACCCCGCCCCTCGCACTGTGACTGCTGGATATGGGTACCAGTGACCCACGTGACCCTGAAAAGAAGAAGCGTGTACAGAAAATGAATGGACGGATGGATAATCTAAAGATGAGATGAAGCTGATTTTATTTTTTGTTGAGTTTAGTATTTGCTTTCTTACTTTGGTTTTCTTGGGTGCCTGTAGAATCACTTTAAATAACAAAAAAAAAGTTCTGTTTTGCATAATCTTATCAGTCTCCCACCCCTGCCCTCCACATTGATGCAGGTAATTGAGGTCAGCAGGTCTAACTCTTCAGTTCCCACTGCTGTATTTTAATCAAGTCGAGGATTTTGACTGGGCCATTCCATAAACTTGATTATTTTCTTTTTTTTGTTCTTTTATAGAGTTCCTGCTTTGCTTGTAATCATTTTCCCGTTGCTTGTTAAACATTGTGGACCAAACTTCAGCAGTCTGATAGACGGATATTTGACTCTAGAATTCTAGACAATGCGATTACAGCAATAGGCTATTTATTTGGTCTTATTCCAACTGCACAGCCTAGAACTTATTATCTAACTAAGGCATGTAGATTCCCTTGTGTTTTCTGCAATTTCTTTGAGCATTGCCCAGTCTGACCTTGGGGTGAAGCTGCTGGGACGTCCCCTCCTGGGAGAACTGGCAACTTAACACTTTTTAATTTAAGACAGACTCCTGGCTGTACTACAATCTAAAATCATCTCAGCATCTCCTTCCTACCAAATAAGTCAAGGTTGTTTGGGTCTACATAGATTTCCCACAAACTGTTCAGCTTTGTTTTTGAAAAACAAGTAATGGTGTCGTTAATTCCTCACATTTGATAGTAGAGCTTGGCGGTATGACCAAAATTTTATTTCACGGTATTTTCAACATTTTCACCGGTTTCATGGTATTTGACGGTATTTTTCTTTTCATCACAGCTCAGCTGATAATAAAATGTACAAACACTGCTAATTGACTTTTTTCTTTTACTGTAACTCAGTCACTGTTTCTCTTCTCTATGTCTTTTCTTTGACTGGTGGTTGGAGACTGTAGTCATGCATTTTGGTCCAATCATGAAGAAGTGTTAAGAAAAGATTATGATCGGTTCTATTGTTTTATGTTATTTAATAAAGCTTATCAGCACAACTCACCTTGCACACCAGTCAATTCCAATTCCACTACAAACTACTAGGGGTGTCCCGATCCGATATCAATATCGGATATCGGTCCGATATCAGCCAAAAAACGAGTATCGGATTTTATCGGACTGCATAAAAAATGTCCGATAAAAGCGCTCCGATATTAGCAGTCCGTTCCAGCAGTTCACTGACTCCGCTCCAGTGTTTCTATCCAGCAGCGCTTGGATCTGGCTTGTAGCGCTCACGTGATCATAACAACAGCAGCGCTAACAAGTTAGCAAGAATGTCGGCAGCAGAACTTTTTATTTTCATCAGAAACAGAGTTGCAGCTAAGTGTAAAGT